CGGGGGGGCGGGCTGGGGGGTTTGGGGCTGCCCCCCGATTTTTCCGAACCCGACCACGTCGGTTCGACTTTGGGGGGCAAGCGGAGCGGGGGGCTACCGGCCCCTTGGCTACAACTGTCCGCTTTGGACTTCTTGAGCGAGCCCTTGGGTTTGGCCTTCCTCTTCTTCCTCGCCTCGCCGCCGGCCTTGGCCTTGCCGCCGGCGCCCTTGGCCTTCTTCAACCCCGCCTTGGTCTTGGGGGTTTTGGTCTTCTTGACCTTGACCCCCGCGTCCTTGGGGGGCTCGGCTTTGCCCCCCGCCTTGGCCTCGGCCGCCGCTTTCTCCTCGGCTTTGAGAAACGGCGCTCGGCTTTCGGCGTCGCGACTGAACTTCACCCCGATGGAACCGCCGCCGGAACCGCCGCCGCTCTCCTTCCCCGCCGCCGTGGTGGAGCTGACGCCCTCCCGGATGAGAACGGCCACCTTGGATTGCAGCTTCACCTTCCGGGAAGCGGGGGGTTTCGCGGGGACCCCCTCCCCATCCTTGTGCCCCCCGCTTTTACTCTTCCTCGCCGGCTTCTCCCTCTCGCCGCGCGGCGGCTTCTCCTTCTCCCCCTTCGCCGGCTCCGGCGGGAGCGGCGGCGGGCGACCGGGAGTCTCCTTAAATTTCTTCTTGTATTTCTCGCGAGCGGGGGGACGCTCCTCCGGCCGGCTCCGCTTCCGCTCCTTCTCCTTCTTGCCCTCCGTCGCCGGGCGCGTTTCTCCTTTACCCCCCCGCGCCGGCGCTTCCGGAGGTTCCCGATCGGAAAATCCCTCGAAACTTAATCCTTCGGAATCGTAGAGCACCTCTCGTTTCGCCGGTTCCGGCGTTCCTTCTCGTCGACTGACGGTGATGGTCCGTTTGATGGCGAAGAGATCGGCGTCGTTCAGCTCCTGGACGGAAGGCGGCACCACCGCCCGCGCTTCCCGCCGCCGCGCCGCCTGTTCTCCGCCTTTTTCCGTTTTGGGATCTCCCGGTCCTTCGCGGGACGGGCGCCGGGATGGCCGGCGTTCCCGGGAACGCGACCGTTGCTTCTTTTTCTTCTTCCCCTCGCCTCGGTGTTTTTCCTTGTGCCGAGGACGCCGAGGTCGCTCGCCGCTCCCCGAACGTCGGCTCCGGCGTTTTTCCCGCGAACGGGAACGTCGACTCCGCGACCAGGAACGCCGACGGGAACGAGAGCGGGAACCGCGGCGGCGATGGCGCTCCTTGGGTTTGGGGGGAGGTTCGGGGGGTTTTTTACCCCCCCAAGCCGCTCCCCCTCCTTCCCGCGAGCGTTTGGAAAAAAAAAAAAAAAAAAAAAAAAAAAAAAAAAAAAAAAAAAAAAAAAAAAAAAAAGCCGCTCCCCCTCGTTCCCGCGAGCGTTTGGGTTTCTTGCGGGAAGCGGCGGAGGGGGAGCGCGGCGAGGGCGGGGCGCGCAGGCGGCGCTGGCTCAGGATTTTGCGGCGGAGGTCGGAACCTCCCCCTTTCCAACGCGGATCGGGTTGGCTGTCGGCGCCGAAATCCCCTTCCTCATCCGAATCGGCGTGGAGGGAAAGAAAATCATCGCCCTCCGGTAGCCGGGGAGGCCGGGACTCGGTTGCCCGGCCCCTAGCGGGACCAGTAACGGTGCCGACACCGCCCGCG